CGGTCCTGGGTCGCCAGCCTGGCGAGGAGGGGCTGAGAAGCCGGAGCTCGCCTTCCGGTGGGTTGACTCTCCATGTGCCCCCGGCAGAAGTGAGAGGACGGGGCCGGGGGCTGGACGCCCCAGCCGGGGAGAACGTGGGTGGGGGGCCCCGCCTCTCCGAGCCCCGTTTACTGCGGACCCCAGTGGCGCCTACACAGGCGCGGGTCGGCGTGTCTGTTTCCACGGGCGTGCGGGCAACGAGTGATTTCCTTCAATGAGTTCATGCCTGCAAGGGTCCGAGGCGCCCCGGCAGCGTAGTGCTTTGCGAGTTGGGCAGCCGTTCAAAACCTCCGACCGCTCAATGGGAGAAAGGGGGATCGTTTTGCCCCCGTGAAGATTTACAGCCCGGGAAGGGCAGGCACTCCATCCCGCCGCTCTGGGTTGCGATGAGCCCGAATCCACTTGATGGATGGCATGGAGAAAACTTGGGTTCTGCAGTTGAGTCGCTGTGGGCACGTTCATTACATACCACGCATTATATGTTCTAACGTGGGGCGACCGTGGGGTCAACTCGACTCAATGGCAACTACAGCTAGCTAATTAAGACTGGCCGGTTTTATGACATGTTTAGGGACTATTACGAAACCGGTTTAGGGGCAACACACGCTCTGGAAGCAAGCCACCAGTGTTCCACCCTGGTTCCTTCAGACACTCGTTGGGAGACCATGAGTGTGACATTTCCCCTCCATCATAGGATGCTTTGGAGGATGGCATGAGGCAATGCATGAAAACTGCGGTCACCTCTGATTCTCCAAGGAGAGCTGTGTGGTTGTCCAGTGGGCCTCCCTCTTTCCTGTGCTCGTTCACAATCACCTGTAGAGTATGACAGGGCCAGTCCTCCCTAGTGGCTCTGTTCACTCGCCCTGCCGCTTCCTCCTGTCCATTTCTCCGAGGCTCTGAACCTACCCATGGCCTGCACGTGTTTTCTTTCTTTTCATTTGCTATCCAGTCTCCTGCAACCTTCTGACATTTGTCCACACGTAACGCTGGGGTCCTGCTTTTTGAAAATGTCTAACTAAAGCCACGGTTGTGGGCTGTAGAGTCGGTTCCAACGCAGTGCAACCCCAGATGGAGCCTTGGTGGTGCCGTGGCTTGGGTGTTGGGCCACCAAACCCGAAATAGCCGGCGGTGCAAACCTACCAGCCACCCTGGGAGAAAGATGAGACTGTCAGCTCCCTGTGAGTCAGAATCTACTGGATGGCAGGAGGTATTGGTATCAGGTTTTCTAAGCTGTAACCTTTATAGGAAGGAGCTCCAGTGTTAGTGATAGACTGCTCACTGAAAGGTCAGCCGTTCAAATCCCCTGACCGTCCGTCCTGTGAGAGAAAGCTGAGACTCTGCTCCTATAAAGATTTGGCAGCCTTGAAAACCCTTTACTAAAGAGTTTGTCTTTCAGAATGGCTCAACTTGGTTTAGTTTTCGGTAAGACAGTAGCTTTTTGCCCTTCCCTTTTAATTTAGTTGTCTTAATTTTAAGTTGTCATAATTAAGGTTACATGTTGGCAGCTAACCACAAGGTCACCAATTTGAAACCACCAGCTGCCTTGAGGGAGAAAGATGACGTCAACTGCTCCCATAAAGATTTACAGCCTTTGAAACCCACAGGGGCACGTCCTATTCTTTCTTACAGGGTCACTGTGGGTCAGAATCAGCAACATCGCAGTGAGTTATAGAACTACAGTAACCTGCTCAGCTGCTGGAAACTGGTCCCTGGACTCTGTCCACAGCCGGCAGTGTCAGTTTTGTTCTTGGGACAAACGGAACCTCCTTGGGGAGCAAGCAGTCCAGGGCCAAACTCGCAGCAGACACATCATTTGGGCAGAGTGAGTCTTGGTGGCACAAGTGTTTAAATGGTTGGTCATTAACCAGAAGGTTGGTGGGTCAAGCCCACCCGTAGCTTCCCGAGTGAAAAGACCCAGCGATCTGCCTCCCAAACTCCCTAAGGGGCAGGTCTACCCTGGGAGTCAGACTTGACAACCACAGTTTGGGCAGAGAAGAGGAGGGTTAGTTGAAGGAAAGTTCTGTTGATCTTAGCTCGCAGATAGCAGATGTTGCCTGGTACGGGGGTCAGCAAAGGCCCGGCTCGGTGGGTCTTGCGTAACACCAGTGATGGGCTAAACAACTGAGGAGCCCCAGCCCCTGGGTGTGGAGGTCACTGGTCCGGGAAAGACCTGCAGCTGTTTCTTTCTCGGCCCCTGCCCTCATCACCCCTCGTACCCCTCTTGCAGCTCCAGGGAATTGTCGCTGTCATCCTCCAAGATGTACCGCACCAAAGTGGGCCTGAAGGACCGCCAGCAGCTCTACAAACTGATCATCAGCCAGCTGCTCTACGACGGCTACATCAGCATCGCCAATGGCCTCATCAACGAGATCAAGCCCCAGTCCGTGTGTGCGCCCTCGGAGCAGCTGCTGCACCTCATCAAACTAGGTAGCTCCTCCCACCTGGGGCGAGGTGGAGGTGGTGCCCAGCGTGTGACTACTAGGAGCCCTGGTGCTACAGTAGTCCAAGTGCTCAGTTGCCAGTCGGTTGGCCAGCAACCACTCAAACCACCAGCCCCTCAACAGGAGAGAAAGGTGGCAGTCTGCTTCTATAAAGCTTGTGGGCTTGGGACCCCGAAGGGTGGTTCTGCTCTGCTACTCTACTCTGTGAGGCTGCCCTGGGTGCTGTTGATTGACCAGGTGGAAGGCCAGGTGCCCGGTGAGCAGAGTCCAGGTATGGGCACAGTGAGCTGGTCTCAGCTTCGGGGCCTCTGCTTCTGCCTGAAGGAATCTGGTATTAGTACGACTTTCCTCAGGTCTCAGCTCACTTCAGAGTCTTCTCCACCCATCTGCAGAGACCTCCACCCTCTTCCCCGTACGCCCTCCAGTTAGTGGACCTCGCTATCCTGTCCCTTTCCTTCCTGACTGAATGCTGTGCAGCATGTCCTGCACCATCTAGATGTTCTCCCATCTGGCTCAGAAAGCGTTGAACACCACAGAGTGGCTGAGCAGTGCTCTTCATTACTGTCCTAGAGTGTAGCTTGGGGGGGTGGGGGGGGGTGGCAGTGGATAGCAGGCCTGCTTCTCTGCAGCAGGGCTGGGATGGGTCTTGGGTACAAGATGTTTAATAGAGATCAGCACCTACAGGCGGGGAAGTGAGAAAGAATGACTGAGTAGGGGAGCCCTCAAGGCAGGCGGGTGGTGGTCCAGAGCATGTCTTTTTACAGAATATCCCCCATTTGCAGGAGAACGCTTGACAGCCTCAAAGACCCCACGTAGGGAAATAGCTCTCGAGGCGGTGCCGTGGTGGTGGTGGTTTATCCTCAGGTTGCTTTAGAACCTACTTTGGGGGTGACCTGGAAAGGAAATCGTGGAAGCTGGAGCGTGAAGGTCTGGAGACTAGGTGGAGGTGTTTGCAGTTGTGCCATGAAGAGATGTGTATGTGGCTTCATACCTGATAGGAGAAGGCCGCTCCTTGGTTTTCTTTCTTCCAATTCAGCAGCCATCTATTTCTACTGGTTGGAGAGTACGGTTAGTGGGGGAAGCTAGCCCAAGACAAGGTAAGTAAGCACACCCACTCCTCCCTCACCGGCACGGCTGCATTCCACCGACAAGGTCCTCACTACTGAGAGTCCTAGCCCAACCCAGTGGGTACCATACCCTTAGCCAGGGCAGTCAGCGTCACTCGGACTGCTGTGCCTGGTGCTGCAGACACCAACGTTGGTGCAAATAACTAGCTAGCATGTTGTGCCAGTGTTGTGGTGCAGAATGTCAGACAGTACCATCTGTAAGTCAGGGAGGACTACGTGTGTGGCCAAGCACTTGTATGTTTGCATCAGTTGAGAGCGTGGACTGTCCATCAGCTGACATTGCAAACTGTTTAGAAAAACGACTCTCCTGACCTAGTCCTCAAATAGCAATCCCAAATGGATCAAGGAGTTTAAGTCCCCAAAGGTATTAGAAGGGAAAATAGTTGCCCGTGTTTTTAACTTAGAGTTGAAGAACACATCTCTAGGCAAAAATCTATTTTCAGATGGCTGTTGCCATTATAAAAGGGGGAGGGGTGGAGCATAAGACTCTGTGTACCTCCTGGAGTTGCCGCGAGGTCGGTATTGACGGGAAGGCAGTGAGTTGGCCTTGGGGTACCCCACAACACCAGCAGCGCCTCCGGCGTGACTGCCTCATGGGCTGGAGTTTAAACACAGTCACCTCTTGTTTCAGTTTCTCATGATAAGGAGTCTCTTCCCCGTGTGCCTCGCTGTGATTTGTCCTCACACTGCTTTGGGCGGGGAGCATGCTTTCAGAGCCCAGAATGGTGGGCCCGAGGTCATCGCTCTCACGAAGGTGTCTCTGGATCACAAGCTTCTAGCCTCATACAGCCAGAACTGACCACGTGGGGATGGGTGGCCTGCTGAAGGGCCAAGGCACTTGCTGAGGTGCCCGGGGCCATAGCTCTTCTAGTAGGCCAGCCCCACACACGACTATCGACCAAGTTGCGCAGGGCCTGCTGTGGACAACATTACCACCACCATCTTTTCTGACGAACTCCCCAGGGTTTCCTTGTTGCTCAGCTTAGGGCTTCTCTCCCCCTCCCAACCCCCCAACTACTACTGAGATGATTTTTTACCAGGCAATAATAAGTGAGGTGGTATTTTGGGTTAAGTGTGTGCGTGTGCTCACACCCATGCATCCGGTTTCTTTCAGGAATGGAGAACGATGACACCGCGGTGCAGTACGCAATCGGCCGCTCTGACACGGTGGCCCCCGGCACAGGGATTGACCTGGAGTTTGACGCAGACGTGCAGACCATGTCCCCAGAGGCGTCAGAGTATGAGACTTGCTATGTCACCTCCCATAAAGGGCCCTGCCGGGTTGCCACCTACAGCAGAGACGGGCAGCTAATAGCAACCGGCTCTGCCGATGCTTCCATCAAGATCCTGGACACGGAGCGGATGCTGGCCAAGAGCGCCATGCCCATCGAGGTACGAGCCAGCCGCCCACCTTTTGCTGTCCCTTCTTGTGTGACCCGAGAGGTGGCTGCTTGCTTCTGCTTCTCACAGTCTAGACGATGCACTCTGATTCTGGCCGGTGTGTCGAGCAGCTCTCTTTGTTGGTCTAGGTCATGATGAACGAGACGGCCCAGCAGAACATGGAAAACCACCCCGTGATCCGCACCCTCTACGACCATGTGGACGAGGTCACATGCCTCGCCTTCCACCCAACGGAACAGATCCTGGCCTCAGGGTCGAGGGATTACACGCTGAAGTTATTTGATTATTCCAAGCCATCTGCAAAGAGAGCCTTCAAGTACATTCAGGTTAGCAAGCGTGTGGTGTGTGGCGGTTCTTTGAAGACTAGTCCCAGTGAGCATACGACCAGAGCCCAGCAGGAGGAGTGTGTGTGTGTGTGTGTGTGTGT